GCTTTGGCCCTCCTTTTCACTGTTCTTATATCTGTCTTTTTACATTTCCATCTCTTTCCAAATAACCCGCCCCTAATTATATTTTCCTCGCTGGTGCCTATTTTGCTGTGTCTGCACCCAGATTTGGTGTTGCTGATACTACTGTCCAGATGCAGTGTTAAAACTTGTATTGCTGACACAGTTGCTCATTTGTCTTTGCTAGTAGATTCCTCTCTCCCCAGAGTCCCCGCAGTTCCCCTTCAGCTGGCTGTGAATCTCCACCTACAGTCAGCCATCCATGACTTGTGTCAGTTTCTCCCATCGTTACCTGTCATATCCCACAATTTGTTGCATGATATCCCGGAGTATCCATGTCAGTTTAGGTTACTGTAACCTTGAGCTTGAGGGCTGAGTGGTCATTCACCTGAAGAACTACAAGTAACAGCATGCTGGCACTTGTTTTCTGCAAGCACATTTTTTTGTCATCTCTGGAGCAGTCGTTTCAGCTTCTGATTTCCTAAGTGCAAACATCTGTTGTACACAGAATAAAAACATTGCAATCCTTACCTTCCCCTTCCAGATCTCATTTCCTACATGGAACTGACCCAGTTGAAAACTCCCCCTGATGTAGAATAAATGTTAGATCTCAGCTAGATGTTTTATTCAGAGGGCAACTACATGAGCTAGCAGTGGTACAAAGTAGGGAACACACGGCCTTCAGCTCAGCAGGAACATGGACTAACTCTCTCCCAAGCATGGCTGGGTTCTCCTCACTTGAATTGCTGCTTGTAAAAACTCATGAAGTCACACTGAATATCCCAAGTTGGAAGGGGTCCACAAAAATCAAGTCCAACAACTGGCTTCACACAGGACACCCCCAAAATTCAAACCTTATGTATGAAAGCATTGTCCAAACATTTCTTGAACTCAGGCAGCCTGGAACCGTGCCCACTGGCCTGTTGTGCCCAACCACTCCTGGGCCAATTGGAAGACTGCATTGGCTGTTTCAGCAATACCCTACGATTTTGTAGAAATCACTGTATGGGAAGAATGTAACACTGTTTACATTAATTATTTTAATTAGCCCTGTTTTGGGGAAAAAAAAAAATATGCAGCTATGAAACGTATGTTGGAAGGAGGGAGAAATGCTTGTGGTTAGGATAGTGACTACAGGTAAGCAAGGAAAGAGGAAATCTTTATATTGTAGTAGCCCAAATTTTGGAAATAATTTTTAGAGAACTAAAGTTACCTGCCTTAAACTTGTAACATTTAACCATCTAACATTTAATTATCTCAATTTTGTGTCCCTGGAAATGTGCACTGAGACTATCAAACAGCTGTAGAGAACTGTAAAGAACTGATTCAAAGCTAATATTTACTCTCCTGTTTTTGTTTTGTATTTATATTACTAAGAGCGTTTAAGTAAATGTTATAAATGGGCATGAACTACTAAGGCAAGAAAACTAATATATTCTGCCATCATCTGGGAATTTTTACTGAGTCCTATTGAATAACCCAGCCTTTGGAAAAGACATTCACTGTTCCATGATGATTACTTGAATTATTTCTGTGTGTTTACAGACTTTTTTTTTTTGTCCAATTTATTTCTGTAAATGCCAACTCCTAATCTGTCTACTAAGGCAGCAGTGGCTTGAAAGCGTACGCGGGGCCATCTGATAATATGTTGGCTGTTGCTTTGCAAAAAGGAAGTATAATAAAGGCCAACATGAATACAGATTGACTTTTAGCATTCTGACTGCTATTGCTGCCTAAATTTTTGAACATTTTCTTTTAACATATTTGAACTGTTGTGTTTTGTTTTATTTTCCATGATAGTATTATAAATAAGACTAGTTATAGAATAGTTACAGAATTTCTCCCATGCTCTCAGAGTATGTAGTAAAAATGTCTGCTGTGGTTACTCTCTAGTATTTGAGAAGATGGAGGAATTTATTGCAGCCTTTGATTCATTTCCTCTGTTCTGCATTTGATGATATAGACAGATGAATTCTGATTAATAGATTGTCTGATGCAGCCAGAATATCCTCATACTCCTGGTTTCCACCTTATGTAAAGCTCAATCTTCTATAGTTAATAATCTTTAAAAATACTTTAACTCTGAAAAATGTTTTGGATTGTGAAATCAGAATAAGAAAATAATTTCTAATGTTAAATTGAAAACTGAACTGTCTACAAAATGCACTTTACTGTTAAGAAACATGTTTCAAAATACTTGGTGAGGAAAAGAGGAAAATATGTCAAGGACTGATCTCACTTAAAAAATAAAAAAAAAAAATAAAAAAAAAAAACAACAAACAAAAGAAAACCAACAAGAACAAAAACACATTTGTCTGATCTGTGAAAGGATGATTATCTTAAAATTCTTTCTGAAAAACAGGGTCAATATAAGACTTATTTATTGTTGATATGAATATATTTTGGAATTATCGTTCATATGAAAGGCCTGCATTATGAACATAACTTCTGAACTTTCTTGGTGGATTAGGTATGTTGGTGCGTGTGTATGTCTGTGTGCATCATGTACATATGCTGCTACTCATATACATTGGTGAGCAAGGAGAAAGGGTTGTTACCTTATTAACCATCAGTAGCTGTAAATGTTCCTGTCTACTAATTCTAAGGCATAAATTTCTGTTGGTAGTAATTACATCAATTAGTGTACAAAAAAAAAAAAGTTTTGTGGAGATTATGTTAAGTGGGCTGGAAAGGTTTGTAAGCCTTGAACCAGAAATTGTTGTAGATAGATTTTTTTTTTCCCCCCTGGTATTATAAAAGTGTTTTGAAGTGCATTCATCCCTTGCAAATTACCTAAAAAAAAAACAAACCAAAAAACAAACAACAAAAGGCTTCCTCCTTGCTCTCATAGAATTACCTTTTGTGTAGCTAAAATAATTTTCTTTTAGGGAAGTAATACTTGTAGATGAAAGGCAATTAGTTACCTTGAGGTTTCTATCATATGTAATCAATTAGGTAGTTTACTAAGCAGCAATTAGGTGCACTTTTTGAGATCCACTGAAAGTAACACAATTGTTTAACTGCTTCAAAAAGCTGAAGGTCATGGGGATAAGTGGAGTGACATAATTCGTTTTTCTAAAGTATTTTCTGTTGATCACTCATATGAAAGGAAGATATGAGTAAATTTCCAAGTCCAGTGCTTAAGACTTAAACATAGATTTTTGCTTATAAAATTGTACTTCAAACATTCACATTGTAGAAGCTAAAAGCATAGAACTTCAATTTATGTTTCTGTGTTTCTATTTTGCTGTGCAGAATCATACTTTACCACTGTAAGTTATTTTTTCCTATAATAGTTAATGAGAGATTAATATAATTTAATAAGCCATGGATGTTCTGTTACAGAAGGAAAGAAAATGTATTTTCAGAATGTTAGTCATACGGTGATGATATAGTGTCTTCTAGCATGCAACAGCAAAAAATCATTTTCATCATGCAAATCATAGTTTGAAGTTATAGAAAGAGGTTTTCTCTAATTATATAATTGGATTTAATTGGACTCTAGAAGTATGTAAGTATTTAATACTGTGTTTTTATTTTTTTGCTATCTGTTGTGTCAGTGTTGAATTGTCATGGGGTTTTGAACTACAGGTTATTCTTACCAAGATCAAGAGAGACATAATGGAATGTGTAAGGCTAGGGGTAATACTTTCAGTAATTAACTTGATTTTCAAGATGTATAGAAAACTCAGAAAAATAACTTTACTACACCAGGAGTTTGCAGTAAGGTGGCTGTAGTGTCTTACCGTTATCACTGATGTAGAAGCTGACCTGAAAACTTTACATTGGAGGCTTCAAACTCTGATTGTGGATTGAAGAGCTACTAGCTCACAATAAGAGTAAACAGTCCCCTTAGCCACCATCTTCCACAGAGGTATGTGCCTTACAAAGGGAAGGCAAACTGCTGTACTTTCATTAGATTCTAGTGGAATCAAAAATCGCTTACTTGGTCAATAAAAATAACAGTTCTGTTATATATTTCACACACGTTGAAAAGTCTAGCAGCATACTGTTGAGGGTGGTGCCGATTTAATAGATCCCTGTCAAAGCCTAGATCCAGTACAGCCTGGTACTACAGGCCCAAATGTAGACATGTTAGAACTACCCATCCATTTTCTAAAATATGTACTCGATTTTCTAGCAAGTTTGATTAACTTCGAAGTTCTAATCAATCAGCTGTTGTAATTGCAGTCTTTTTCAGAGCAAGTTTATCTCATATTATTGGTAGATTTTACTATTAAGCAAGATCCAGAATCTCACTCCAAGGAGCCAGCTCCACAAGGTTTAAGGTTCTGTCTTATCAGTTGTTCCCTGCGTACAGCAGAGGCTGTAAAAACTTCAATTTGAAAAAGCAGTTTCCAAATGCAGGACAGGTACATTAGAATGAATTCTAAGTTTGGCAGACTGGCTCTTTCCTTTTGAAATTGACTCAAAGCTGTAGTACAGATTTGGATATTTTCTACTGATACTGAGAATTCTAATGTGTTTCGGGTTGTTGTTTTTTTTTTGTTTTTTTTTTTTTGTTTTTTTTTTTTTTGTTTTGTTTTGTTTTCTAGAAGCATCATTTGAATAACAATATTTCATACTATTCATACTACAGAGATTTTTTTAAACTTTTTTTTTTTAATATCTCAGGAAGCAAAAACCAAACAAGTTTAATCATATGTCTAAAACAAGAAAAGTTTTGTTGTTGTGGTAAATCTATAGATCATAATTACATGTCACAGTCTGTGGATAATTAGAGAAAGTCTTATATGGACAAGATGTTATGTTGACTTCTCATTTGACAGTTTGATGGATTGTTAGCTGTTTGACTTCCCAAAGAAGAAAATTTTCCTTAGAAATCATGTCTGAATATATAGCCATTCTAATTATAGAAATATTACTTCAAATTTTACCATTATTCCTTCAACTATCATCTGAGATAATGGGCTTCAGAAGTATTATCATACTGTGTTTATGCATCAGTTTTTCTTTATTCCCAGATCCAGGCGATGTATGACATTACCCAGTATGAGAATATTTTTACTTTGTTTATGATTCTGGAACAACTTCTTCACAATGGGACAGAAGAAAGTAACACTTCAGACTCAGGCTATGATGGAGAAGAGAAAATCAAATTTCTGAAGAACCTTGATCAAGTTATTCTTCACCTTTCAGATGAATTCCCTTTGTTTTCTTTATATTTATGGAGAGTGAGTGTTCTTTTGAACTCAGCTCAAATACAAATTGATTAAAACAAGCAACCTACTTTAAAGCAGTGCATTGTCATGAAACTGGATTGGAAAATGTTTGAGTCAGGCAGGGAAACTGTAGTTATTGAAAAATATTTATTTTAAACTTCTATGCTATGCTTTCACTTCAGAGATAATGAAATTTATTTCCAATTTTAAATATTCAGAAATGTAATAATTCAAGCCCTGTTCGTTTGTTTTGTTTTGTTTTGTTTTTAATAAATACTATTTCGTGTAACAGAAAACAGTATATTGGTATTTGCATACACAGTGAAAATGGTAACAAAGAAAATAGTTTCAGGTAATGCTTCCTATAAGCACTCTGAACTTTAAAGTCAAGAAATAATGAGTGTAGAGCTAGGCTTCTGTATTAAGAAACTGTAAGGTGTGTACCTTCTGTATGCTTTAGAGACATTGGGTAGTTGGGCATATTGATAACATGAAATAAAAGACTGATCATCAGAAAGCAGGTGTGTTGCCACGCTCTGTGTGATGCAGCAGAGGTTGCTGTCTGATGATGAAATGAGAAATAACAAAAAGAATAGTTTTAAACTTGGTAACATCAGTATTCTTCTAGGATAGTCTTAGTTTTTTGTTTAATCACAGTGATTATCTGACCAAAATAAAATCTGATGCTTGGTTTTGCAACTTTCTTATTCTTGGCTTTACTTGCGTATGCGTAAGCATCAGGCCTAATTCACTCTGAGTTGACTATTGACTTCAAATTAAATTTAACTCCTTCTGTGGTTGCTTTAGACCTTTTTGTTCAAAATAAATGAATAGTGATAAAATCTCTTTTGTATGCTTATGTACTGATTTTTTTTTTTTTACATTTTTATTTCTGTGCAAGTGTATTGATAGTAATTATTAAATTCATATATTTATAGAAATATGTAAGGCCTGTAGAAATGAGTTCAACAATAGCTTAACCAATACAGAACAGCTTTGATAAATTTGGGGCAGGAGGGTACAAGTTTTACGATGATAGCATTATTTATAGTAAATAAATATCGTTTTAGTTTTGTTGTGTCTTCTAGTAGGGTGTATTCATCAGAAATAGAAAACATTTATAGCATTTACCTTATTCTTTCTTTAGAATTTTTTTCAAATCAATTTTTAATGCCCAAAACATGCTCTGTGGCTTTATTACTGTAAGTAATTGATCTTGTTAATATTTATTTTGTTGGTTTGAATGCACTTATTTAAGATAATAAACCTATTTTTTCTACATAGTTAGAAGATAGTAGCATTTGAAAAACAATTTACTTTGATGTTGAATTGGTATCTGAAAAGAGATATTATAATTGTTCATATACTATCCAGCATTGGTATGTTTCTTAAACTTACTATTTACTGTGTTCTATTGTAACATTTAATTCTCTCTGTTAGCAAACTTTCAACAGAAATCTGTCTTATGCCTGCAAAAAGAATATCCACAGTAGAAAATTAGATAAGTCTTACTAAATTAAGGAAAATAAATAAGGATATAAATTTGGCAGCCACACAAGAATTATTGTGCCTTTTCAGTTGTCTTATTAATTTTTATTTAGACAAGGTTCTTCCACCTCCTTACATAAGTTCTGTAAGAGCAATAAAAGCATGATTACAAAGAGAGCAAGGAAAAAAATAAATAAAAGGGAACTGGTATCCATTTGATATGGTAATTTGTGCAACATTTGGTCCTTTTCATATTTGGAAAAAAAAAAAAAAAAAAAAACACTTCAAAAATGTCTTGAAGACAGGAAAATAACAGAATCTGAAAAACAGCAGAATGTGTATTGTTTCATGACTCCTTTCCTGAAAGGCTTCCTTCCTTGCAGAGCATTGCATTTTCTCATCAGCAAACTTTCTAGGCCACTAGAGGAGTAATAGATGTTTTGGGAAATATATGCATCATTCCTATGTTTTGAATCAACTTCTGGCTTGAAACATTATTTATGAAATCTTACAAGGTTGTTAAACAGTTTGTTATGGAGTTCTGAAAATATTTGAGCAGGGTGAGAGTCCCCATTGTAATACCATTGTAGCAGTTCAATTACTAGCAAGTACTGTTTACCCCTGAGCTCTCCTTGTCTGTTTTATTGCAAAATTAAATAGTTGGTTAATCCATGTTAGTGAGCATATTTCAGCTTTGGTGGGAGAAATAACCTCTACAGCTGGAATAGCTGTTTATATCACTGTCTGAAGTTTCCTGAAGAAGTAGTTCACCAATGTGGGACTTGCCTCAATAGGATGATGGCACAGATGTAGACATGTAGATATCTCTGTGTAGTTGGGGTGTCTAAGGTATGAAAAATCTACAAAATGGAGCAATATTTTGTGCTGAGTCTCCAGCTGCCACAGCAGAAGAATGCAGCTCTCAAAGAAATCCTGTGTCACACATGCTGTTTTTTTTGCTTGCAGTTGCCTCTAATACCCTGGAGCATCTTTAGTAGCACTGTCACTATAAGTGTTTAGGAAAATATGTCGAGCAGTGATGGTACTTGGATATGTAGCTAACTATGGCAACAAGATGCATTTCAGTGTCTTGCTCTGAGAATTAAATCTCACCCTTGAGATATCTGTGTTTTTGGGAGTAGAAAAGCCTAAGTTTAAGTCCATGCTCTTCAGACAGTTTCTGCTTTTGCCCAGTAACTGTTAGCTATGACTTATGGAAACACCACTGTCTTTAGTTTTGAAACAAAACATGATGAGAGGGCCAGTCCTATGTTTAGATTTTATAGATATATATTCTGAGGCAAGGGTTTGTATCCCAGCTGCAACCCTTCTGCAATTTGGACTTACTCAATGTCTTAAGTACTTGCTGAGTAGGTATGTCAGTGTTCAACTTTTAAATATCTGGCCTCCAAAGAATCCCAAATCCAGTGAAAAAAACATATGGTCTTTGAAGAATGGAGAATATTAGATGTCTCTAAAGAACAGTCTAGAAGTCCTATGTGCTGAGCATAACTTATCCTAGGCTCAAAGAACAAGGAACTGTGAAAGAAGAAAGTGGTCTGACCTGTTGTTTCCTGGGAATGTTCTACCTGAGTTAGCTGTACAGTTTTAGTACTAATAATTCAGCATTTATTTCATCATACTGATTTTCTTTTCATGAATGTATGCACTTCATAAATTAGCAAAATGCCAGTGTTCTGAAAATGCAAAGTATTCAGGCTTTTATATAGATGTATATATATATATATTGACCTGGTCAAATTATATTCATTATATATTTTTGTATATACTTTAAATATTTATTATATATTTATGTGATCAAATTAGCATTGTTAATTCATTAGTAGCCAAGTGGTTAGTATTTTGTAATTTGTAACTTTTCCACATTCATAGCTATCCAGGTGATTTTCTTTTTAACTGTCTGCATCTATTTTAAATGGAATTTTATGTTAGTGTGTCTTATTCTATGAGCAGCAAAATTACAATGCAAGGAAAATAAATGTTTGTTATTATTATTAGTGCTTCTCTATTGACTGTTCCATTCACTTAAGAATTTTACATGTCTGCTAACAAGGAATTTTGGAGTGACTTGAAATGAACTATCTCAAAATGTTATTATAAGCTTAATTTGAAACCTTTTAAAAATATATTTATGGTGTACTGATTTGAGATAGTTCTTGCTTATATCTGTTGGTAGTAGTAGAAATGAAATTTTACCTCATTTTAATCCTATATTAACATCTTGTTGTTGTTCTAGTTTTCTGTGTGCTGCTAACTTATAGTTTACTTTGACACAACATTCAGATTATGTTTATATGATCTTAGGAGAACTTGTGTTGAAAAGGACCTCAAAAGTCCAATCAAACCTCATGCTTGAACAAGTAGGGTTTGTTTTGAATTTAGACCTAGTTGTTTGTTGCTAGTTCAATATCCAGTCTGATATTGAAAACTCTAAAGACAGATTGTACAGCCCCTCTGGATAACCTCCTCTTCTGCTTGACTGTCTCCATGGTGAAAAAGGTTTTGCTTATAAACAGTGTAAACCTCTGTTTTATGCTCAGTGTCTTTAGTCTTCCCACCACATAGAGCCTGGCCTTGTCCCCTTCGTATCTTCCTCATAGATCTGGAAGCTGCTTTTAGATCCTCCTGAAAATATCTCTTCCTCAATCCAAGCAAGCCCAGCTTCCTAAAGCCACCTCACAAGGCAACCCTGACCTTCCAGGAGGTTCTCCACTGAACATGTATCCATTTATCCTCTTTTTATTGGAGGAGCCTCAAATAGCAATTGTCTGATGTGAGATAAGAAATGCTGAGTAGAGGTGAGCATTACCTTTCCTTGAGCTACTCTTATACTGACGTTCAGGTTGCTGCCAACTAGATCCCCAGGGCTGTTTCTCCAACTGGGCACTGCCAGCCTGTATCATTGCACAGGGCTTGTTTTTCCAGGTGGGACATCTTGTATTTGTCTTTGCTGAATTTCATGGTCTGTCAGCATGTTCATCCAGTCCACGTTTGTATCTCTAATGGCAGCTCCACTTTCAAACACATTGACTGGGGCTCCCAGTTTGATGCCATCTGCAAAGTTGGTGAGGATGCCCTCCATCACCTTCTCCAGAGTAGCTCCTTGTGATAGTCCACTTATGACAAGCATCCAGGTACAATCCATTAAAGGTTAACCTGTTAACTACCATCAAATCATTTTAAAACCCACCTGGTTTTGCATCCATCTAGACTGGAATCTCCTAAATTTGACATCCATAAATCCAGTCATTTTATCCTAAAAGATAATCAGGTTGGTGTGGTATGATTTACCTTTAATAAATCCGTGCTGCCAATTTCCAGTTGCCTCTTTCTCCTCGATATGTCCAGCAAAGTGCTCTAAGAGGACTCTCTCCACAATTTCTTCTCCAAACCCAGCACTCTTCCTTCCTCTGGAAAATTGTTGGTTTTGATATCAGAAACAAAGGAATATGTTTTAAGTCAGAAAAAGAAACATTGAAAGATGAATTGTTTAGTTTACTATCTGCTACTTAGTGACTGACCCCTTTGAACCTTTTTTTGAGGGA